GGGACAATGCTCCGATATCCGTTTAGACAGACGCCTAGTCATATGTCCGATGTACTTCACACCACAGTGCAAGTAAACTGAAATAGAATATTAGATTCGGACTGGACCGAGATTCTGTCTTTGAGACGTTGGGCAACAAACGGCACAGTTTCAGCAATGATGTGTGGATATGCAGCTGGAATCTTTCGAGTCTGTGATTCAAACACTGATGTTTCCAGCCTGTTGAACCAGTTAAACAGTGTACACCCATCTTTGAAGTTCACCAGTGAAATCGAGTGGGATGGTAAACTGGCCTTCTTGGACGTTTTACTAAGGTGAAAAGAAGACGGTTCACCATAAAGAAGTGTTTTTCTGAAAACAACGTGGGTAGGTTAATACAAGCATTTTCGCAGTTTTGTGCCCTTGAAGTACAAACGGAACCTCGTTCGTTGCCTGTATTTTCGCGCTGCCAAAATATGTAGCCCAGAGACCCTGGAGGCCGAAAAGAACCGTATTTTCCAAACCCTGCAAGTAAACGGTTATCCAGCCCACTTCATCAGAAAGCACGCAGTGATTCATGCTCAGCATGAATCAGTTACAACTGTCCACAAGAAAGGTGTGTTCCTATCAGTTCCCTTTAAGGGAGATATTGCTCTCGATTTGCTGAACAAAAGACTTTCCGCTGCAGTAGCTCGAACGCTTCCAGCTGCATAGCCACACATCATTGCTGAAACTGTGCCGTTTGTTGCCCAACGTCTCAAAGACAGACTCTCGGTCCAGTCCGAATCTAATATTCTATTTCAATTTACTTGCACATGTGGTGTGAAGTACATCGGACATATGACTAGGCGTCTGTCTAAACGGATATCGGAGCATTGTCCCACGGCATTGAGAAAGGTACTATTGGTTGCATCAAGAGTTCTATCCTAGAACACTTGGTCGACAGTGGACATCAAATTAAGTCTACGGATGCTTTCAAAGTGTGTTGCTTTGAGGAAACGAATGTTACAGATGGCCGAAGCCATTGCGATTAGGCTTACACAACCTGAACTATGTAAACAGAGAGCGCTTATCCAAGCACTTCTTCTGCCCCGGGGATAACACACTTCCAAACAGCTTCCACTTCACATGCTGACAACCCGGGGTGATGAGTGCGTCACCCAATCAGTTGAAAAGCACCTCATGTCTCGTGAGCATACATCTGTGTTTGTGTATATCTATGCGTGCCCCTTGCTGAGGTTGATATTGCATTCATGCTACTTCTTCACCGCAGTTGGGCTAAACCAACTTACACTTGAGTAGGTCTTTTTAATGTGGATAAAATTCATTATCTGTTATTTGGTTTGCTCTGCGTACTTGATAATCTTCTCCTTACTTGCACACGTAGTTCACGCAAATTGTGGTAAACTTGCGTAATTTTATCGCGTGGTATTTTTTAACTAACTTTCGAACATTTTGTACTTAGCACGGATTCACTTATAAGCAATTTCTTCTATAAGCTCATTTAGCTAGTATTTATGTCGTCATATGCGTTTACTTTAATCGATATCGACATTTCAAATGATTGGCTGTTGTTTGACATCCCAGGTGTGGCTGCGCTTGATGTGCATGTTGACAAGGTGCCTACCTGTCTATTACCAAATACTTCTTCCATATTGGCTCCATGAGACAGTTGATCGTTGCTGGAGGGGACGGGGTGCACGGTCCTTGTGGTCGTGCTAGGCTCGAAAAGTGGTTCCATGCACCCAGTGTGGAGCGGACTACAGTCCAACCAACATCTTGTGTGCGCTCGATTCCCCAAATACAGTGTGCTTGTATTTGCCTGTGAAGAAGTGTGAATCGGCCCTGATGATGAAACGTGGATCCCATCCAAATGCCACATGCTAAGACTGATGCTGCATTCATGATGCTTCTTCATCGCAGTCGGGCTAAACCAACTTACATTTAAACTAAGTATTTTTAAGGTGGATACAACTCATTCCACTCGTTTTGGTTTGTCCTGCGCTCCAGAAAATCTTCTCCTAAGTTGCACACGTCGATAATGCTAAATGTGATAAACTGGCATACCTTAACCACGTGGTATTTTTTGAATAACGCGGAAATTTGGTAGTTCACGCAGATTCGCTTATAGCCAATGCACTCCATATACTCATTTGGAGACTATTCATGTCGGCAATTACGTTTACTTTATTCGATAGATTTAATTTGGTGTCGGCCTTTCGAGTGTTTGGCTATTGTTTGACGTCCCAGATGTGGCTGCGCTTGATGTGCATGTTGACAAGGTATCTACTTATCTACTACCCCCTACCACAACCATACCGGCTCCAGGAGACAGTTGGCCCTTGCTGGAGGGGACGGGTTGCACGGTCCTTGTGGTCGTGCTAGGCTCAAAGAGCGGTTCCTTGCACTCATTGTGGAACAAAATACGCTCCAGCCGCCGCCTTGTGTGCGGTTGATTCCTCAAATACAGCGTGCTTATGTTTACCTGTGAAGGAGTGTGGGCCGGCTCTGTTGATGAGACGTGGCTTTCATCCACATGCCTCCTAGTCTTATTCCTTCGGGTTTACACCGGATATGGGTTGTGTGGATGGAGCTGTGTGTGGTGCAGCGCATGCCATCCATGGTCTCTCTGTATGTGCAGGTATATTGTGGCTAGGCACAATGACATAAATCCGAAACCGGATGCCGCCAACCACATATGAAGAATATCTAAAGGTGGTCTTTTTACTCTTGTCCGGAGCTAGGAGCGGCTGCACTCAGGTGCAGACGTAAAGCCGGTACGCTGAATTGCTAACTCTCCAATGGCGCAAATTGCTTTTCCGGCAGGGGTGCGATGGGAAATAGACGCCATGTGTATGTCTACAATCGCAGAGCACACCGAGCATTTCGACTGTGAGAACTGAACGTTAGTAGACACCACAGCCGCAATTACTGCGTCATGCCTCGACCGCAAGTCAAGACCAACGGACCGCAAGCCGTTCGTTTGTAAGAACTGGATATGAACCAGGTACACCATAGCAAAATTGAAAGTGTCATGCTTCGATCGACTGGTATTTGAACTTCACGCAAGTGAACAAGCCAGCGAAAGGGTTTCCTACGAAGTGGTTAGTTGGTCACTGTGCTAGCAACTGAGAAAAGCAGCCTGGCCGTATGTGAGTATCAGTCGATGTACGCCGCATTCATTGCGGCTGTGGTGTCTACTAACTTTCAGTTATCACAGTCGAAAGGCTCGGTGTGCTATGCGATCGTAGGCATACACGTGGCGTCTGTGACCCATCGCACCCCTGCCGGCAAACTAATTGGCATTATTGGACATTTAGCAATTCAGCGTACCGGTAGTATGTCAGCACAGAGTGCAGCCACTCCTAGCTCCGGACCAGATTAATAAAACACGCTGTACCTATACCATGCAACTCCCCCTACTACTCATCTAAAGTATACATTATTTTGGATTCATCTCCCACTGTCATTTGGATAGGACACATATTTTTGCCTTCCATTTACACCTACATAAATATTTCACAGTTCCCAAAGATTTGCAACTTCTCAAGCTGATTATCGCGGAAACGGAGATTTATTTGAAGGGACCAAAGGGTATATAATGCTAGTCCGTGCTACCTCTAGATCGTAATCAATAGCTTCGCTGCTGTTACAAAAGCGAAAAACGAAAGTAAGCAGGCAGCTTTTACATGCCCATTCTTCCGAAACTTATCGCTTTCTATATTTACTCGGCCATACCAACCTCAACTTTCCTATAACAATATGACGGCTAAAGTGGGGCGTTAAACTAAGTCCTTTTTTCCTTCTTCTGACCAATGTTGTGTTCTTTCCTTGCTCAGCCACGCTGACCTCGAGGCATTTATTCCTACACAAAATGCAACGATGGAAGGGAAACCGAGTCCACGTTTTCAGTTCTTGGACCCCCTGTTATATCTTCTCGTTAAGCGGCTCTACCGCGGCCACATCGAACCCCATAAAGTTGGCCAACCGAGTACTCTTTCTTCTCTACCAGACGACTGCTACACTGTTCCTTTCCAATTATTTTACAAAGAGCGACAGGTGCTATTGTAACTTCTGTCACAGATACACATGCGTGCGTAACAAGATGCCATTAAATATAGATGCATTATGTAATTAGTTTTGCACCTCCATAAAGCAGTGTTTGTGTTGTACTTCCGCTACAGACCTGAAATGATTAGCAGGTCTACCGGCGATCAATGGGAATACAAGCCTGACCCATTCTAAGGGATGACCATCTCGAACATAATATAACTAGCTAACAGGAATGCCTCCCTTACCTATGTTTACTCACTGTATGCTACGGAACACAGCATTATTAACCTGTATCATAATTTCAACACATTTTTTATATTTTTGAATACTGGCATCACAAAGGCAGTCTTCTCTGCCTGCGAATCGTTTAACCTGTGTACCGTTCAATATTTCCAGCATGTCCCTTTCCTTGAGACTCGTCCAAATACTGCGGAGAAATATACCAATACGCCTGGCTGCTTTGCCTCTTCATTGTGTACTTCTACATGACGAAACAATCTAGCTCAAGCCGCTCCCGACTATAGTGCTGGCAGACTACACGGTGTGCCGAGTATATGTAAGCACATAAGTTACAAGATGTGCAACATTGCGTTATATGCGCGCACTATCATTCAACATGGGCTTGCCACAGTAATTCTTAATTATCTGACTGACCATGTTAAAAAACGCGCTGTTAAGCGTAATATTTTGTTTGTCTGAATCATCAACAAACTTGTAAAACTGTCGTATAATTTGCTCGGACCAAGGAACTGGCCGTGTCTCGCACAGTGGAGAAACAAACGACTTTATTTATCTATTTATTTTAATTGTCGGTATGTACTAATGGCTACAATTTGGGATATATTAGAAGACATCAAATAAATGCAACAACTGCAATACAGATTTAATAGTTGTCCATAGCTCATGTTGACCAAAATGCGCTTAGATCGAACTCACTGACGTTGTGCCAGTTTGCTTTTGTAACTCACTCGATGCAAATTCACTTGGAGCAATTGCAGGTATTGCCAGGTACTTCGGACCGATCCGTAACAAACGGCCATCAATTTGTGTCAAACTACGGACGAGACATACACAAGTCAGCAGCATCCTTCTTGGATCGTATGACCAATTGTCAACGATGCAGGCGGTAGTAGAGATTGGGTTCAAATATGATAGCTGAAAAATCAAGGGAGAAATCAAATCTTCCACTGTTAACGAACATGTATAAAGCAGTCATACACATGCAGTTAGAACAGACAGTTAGTTTACAGTAAAAAGAAATTAAATCTCTGCGGCTACAAGCACGCAAATAGGATTACGGTAGCAGCTAAATAATTAGCGGGATAAGAAGTACACACTTTAGCCACAGTTGAGTTGGCAAAACAAATGTTATTTTTAATCGATTCTGAACATCATTCAGTGATTTCAACTCACAGAACCCTATTTCAGTAGCCCAGCTTTGATCACAACACGTAAGGGTCGCTATACTCTAACTGTAAGTATGGAACTCACTCCACGTCACTGAAGCGGGTTAGTTTTCAATGACTACAAGTGTAGTTTAAAGCAGCACCAGCGTGTTGTGCGATTGTGTGTTGCGTTTAGTCGTGATGCGCATTCACGAACCACCGTGGTTGAGTGATTTGCAGAATTTGAACTTTACACATTGGCCCTGGATGATGAAGCACGGTGTGGACAACATGTGCTGACCATCACGGCGGACAACATTGCGGCTGTGTAAGCAATGCTTGAGGAGGACCTGCAGGTGATTATGTTACAGCTGGGGAAATCCATCGGGATCTCATCGGGATCAATCCGCACCATCTTACTTGAGAACCACGGCCTAAAAACGGTTTGCGCACGCTGTATACCTTATCAGATCAGCGAAGATCAGAAAGCAGCTCGGGTGAATTGGTGCCGCACCATGCTTGCTAGTTTTTATGGTCTATGTACCAATGCTCTTTGGGAGCCCTTCAGTGGTGCTGAGATCTGTGTGTACACGTTCGAACTAGCAAGCAAGCAACAATCGGCTCAGTGCGCGGCCGTTGGTGGAGCGCTGCTGCATGAGCGCGGTGTGCCTAAGTAGAGGGTGGTTGTGTTCTTGGCCGATACAGGTTATGCGGTTAGTGTACTGCTGTTACGTCTGTGCTCAGTCACCGGCGACTGGTAGGTCACCCACTCTCTGCCTCAAGTGCTGGAGGCTTTGGCGAGGCGTTGTCCAAGTACTCGAACAGGAGGGACCTTACTGCACCATGACAACGCACTTGCACACAGGCACCATGTCGTCGTAGACGTTCTTGCTAGAGAACGCATCCAGGTGGATGGTTAAGCCTATAATCCGGACCTGGCTCTGTGTAACAAATTGTGTTGCTAACTGTCATGTGCATGATGCGTGAAATTCGCTACGAGTGTTCAGTAGCTGCAGTACAGCCATATATTTAACTGCTTGCAGGCTTATCCAATTCGACGTGGTCTAGCTCCTACTCCAAATGGTTTGAGTGCATGGAACTGTGCGGGAGCGCTGGTGGAGAGTATCTCGAGAAAACAAACTGCTTATTTTATAAAAATAAATTGTGCATCCGGAAACTGTTTGCTTTAGCCTTGTGTAGGCTTCAAGGAATTTCCGGCGACATTTTAGTTAGGGATACTCACGGCATGGCCATTAAGTATAGTCGTGCTCTAGGAATTCCGTATGTGAAATTTACTAAGGCCCACGCTTACAATTACTGGTTTTTATATAAGGCTCTTCTTTTGTATCAGCACTTGTTCTGCAATACATATCTAGTCGCGAAACGTTTTGCGAGAACTATTTGTTTGCATCTTACGGAATTGCTCATTTTGCAACGATCGTAATTCTGCAAGAAAACGGAGTGTTATATGGAGGTTCGATTTTCGAAAGTAAAAATTGGCGAGATCTGAGCGTGCCAGTATTGGTTATCGCCAAAAGCCTTTCGCTTTTGAAAAAATTAGGTAGATTATCGTGTGCCGTCTGTTTCAGAGAATTTTCGCTGCTAGGCATCATGATTTTGCAAAGAAACCTGGCTCCACAAATACGCGGACAATGCTGTCGTATCCGTAGTTGAACAGAGTTGCTCTCGGGTAAACGGCCCATACGTGTACCGAAACATATGCGATGGAGTCCTAGTTTACACTAATCAACCTTGTTGTAGTGCAGTAAGATGCATCATTTTTCTCTTCACCATTAATCAGCATCAGTTCTATAATTCTGAAAGAGGTGTTTGAGCGGTTACCGCTCAAGGTATCTGCAATTTTACCAAATCTAATGTAGTGATCTTCTGTGACGACGTGGCAGCAGCTGTCATAGAACACATCAGCTATGCACCATGTATCCTTGCCGAAGATTTTAACCGATACTATACTAATTTACTGACCACTCTCGGGTTACGGAACATAGTAAATTTGACCACCGGGTTACACAGGACACTAGACCTAGGGTTTGTTAATAATCTGAAGTGCTTCGGCTTATGCTAATAAGCTCCGATTGGTAGTTCCACCACTCAAACATTAACATATCCCCTATCGTCTAGAGCAAGACAAAGCATTAAGATTTCACTCGGTGCATTGATTAAAGATTCAGGCAGAGGCAATTTTGTTCGAAAATATCAAATGTCTTGGTGAAATGACTACAAATCCAGCATTTAACTTATTCATTGGCACTAACTATCCTCAGAGTATGTCAAATAACAAGCTATTTAAATGCTTGTTACAACATCTGCTGTCCTTAAAAAATAGTTTATGTCTATGCGGCCAAGTTCTTCTCACCTACCGATGCGGGTATGCCGATCATAAAGAAGAATTTACTTAAATTTATAAGACTTCAGTGAGATCACCTACTATCCATATCAAGGAGGATCTGCGCCACTTATCTAATTGTACACCGGTCTTTATGTTGGAACGGCAGCTCTCGTGAATGCCAGGGAATGCTGAACCTGCTTAGCCGCATTTATCGACGAGTGCCTTATTCTGATTTGATTGTAGTTAAAATGAAACAGGGGTTATACAACCGCGATACTGATTTAGCCCATATACACTTCCTTAGCCCAAGTTCTGGGGTCTTTAGACTTATTGCCTCCTGTCCTCTGGGAATAATTAAGTTAAGTACTGACGTTGCAGTAAAGCTTGCGGTCCGGACAACTTGTTTCCCAGCACAATCAAAGGGATGTGCTGAATTCGGCGACCTATCTTGAGTCCGTAGTCACATTGCAAATTCAGAAAAACGAAATCGGTGACTTTTGGAAAAGTGTCAGTATTACACCGGTACCAAAATTAACCCAGCAAATAGCAATCAAAATCTTGTCCTTCTGTTGCCGTGTAGGTTTTGGATAAGTCATGTTTGAATGGATGCCGTTGCAAACGCATTTGAAAGACCACCTTCGCCTTGCCTACAAGACTTTAAGGTCTACCATAGATGCAGTGGCTTGCCTCGTACATTATGTAACCCCATCTACTTATACTCCGCTCAAGTATGTTTTCTTGACTCTAGCAACGCATTCAGGCATTAGTACACGCGAAATAGTTATTCAAGGATTGCATCCATCCATCGTCCAGTTGCTGAACGACAAGTTTCCTGAACGCATTCAGATTACCCGACAAAGAAGCAGTAGCGTTAACAACTGTTCCATCAAAGATCAATTCTGTTGCTCTTTCTCATTTCTACCTACGTCAGCACAATACCAGCTGGTGGAGCAGCATTTCTATAGAGCAAGCAGACCACATCATCTGGAGTACGAATCCTAGAATCATAAGTTGCATGATCTTCTGAGAGATCACACCTTTCGTTCTGAAACGCCCAATCTGTCTTTTAAATTAGTAAACCGTCATGTTCTTTTTCACTAAGAAGTGGCCCTGGATACGATCAGCTTCTTGTGCAATGCTCGACACTCTGCAATGACGGGAATGGATAGTTTTGTTTCACGGGGAAGTACAAAAATGAGGCACTGAAATAAGATTTTTCTTAGTAGATTCATGTAAGTGGACCCTTCACAAAAATAAATGTTTACATTCTAGGTCTCTCAAATAAGGGGTTCCTCAGACCCTCATTATTCAATACGCCATGTTGCTAATTTTTGCGTTCTTCACCACTGGACTCACTGCTCCCCTCTGAACTTTTTCCGTTATCTTGTTAATCACCATTAGAAAATTGCTAGGTAATTAAGGCATTTACTCCGATGTAGCAACGTTCCAATGCCTTCAACTGTTTGAGTAAATCAGTAATTTACGAAGCTGGATTCAAGGATGCCGGCCGATCCAAGTCTTCCTCTTCATAGCGCTTAATCTGTGAATATGTCAGCGTAGTTTACTAGACAGTAGTAAAGGCGGATATGTGCTGATGTACACACCAACTGGTGGTTGGCTCTCCTTCCCATCCATAGCGTATTATACTAGGTTCTAACTGTCATTCTAGAACTAGCCAGCCGATTATCTGATTATCCTTCATTAAGGCGCTTCTATGGCATTATTTAATTAGAGATTTACCATTTGTTTAATTGCTGCGATCTTGTATGTTGTAACTGAATATGCACAAGTTCAAGGTGCATAAAGCAATTTGTTAAATTTTGCTAAAGGTTATAACTTGCTGAATTAAATATATATCACTAACTTTGTTGTTGCAGTATAATGATATTTTTTCGTGTAGCGTGTGATTCACAAAATCCTCATACGGTGCTTCATCTTCCGAAATCATGATGGACAAATATTCTGCAAAGGAAAGTAAATTTAGATCAGTTTCTGACTTGTAAACTTTTACTTGCACTAGAGTAAGTGGTGGCAGATCCATGGTAAAGTTAGAAGGGACGAAATATATTGTAGTATTTGACTCACATTATTAATACATTGGTTGAAAGCTGCATATCACGACAGGAATATTCGACTTACTCCTTAGTTAAGATGATTTAGAACATGCTGAGCGATTCAGCGTTGTAGAATAGGGAAGTTACCCAGATGTGGTATGTGACCTGTGTTTCGCTATCCCACGAATTTCGTCCTTCAGCTAAAGCTGTTATTGTTCCTTTAATATCGTCACATAGTTGGTTGCCTATACCAACCTAACCAGATCGGATGAGTTCTTCGCGGCGCCTTAGCTTTATGGAAATCGCAATGGTAGTGCGTTCAGAATGAATATCACGCACGGCCGCATTGCTTCAGGCCACAGGGAAGCGTCATTAATACTCCAGTAATGATGTTACTCAATACTAATAGGCATTCATTATCAATGTTGTCAGTATCTAGGTAACGCGGCTATCAGGAAATTCAACCGCTCCTAGCACGGCCGATGCCGTCGCTTGTAACCCAGTGACCATCGGATTTGAGTCACTCCAACTACAGTTGCCCCGTGCAGCCTCCTTAACAAGATCGGTGAATGCCAATTCATCTGGCTGTTTATTCGTGGTAGTTGATTTGCAGATTACAATTATAGTTGGCAGCGAACAAAGTGACACAGTTCAAGCAGATGAATTTACAAACCAACCTTTATCAATGCAGGACACCATGCAAGCAAAAGCTGAAATTAGCTGGCCGAAACCGATTACTTGTTAATTTGTCACGTGGAGATTGTTAATCGGGTATTAGAACTCAATTATAGTACTATGGCTTTGGTTCGGTCTAATAGTTGCGCAACCAGCCCGGCAACTGTTTGCCTGCCGACTACAAGGAAGGTTCCAAACTTTTAAACTACAAAATGGCTAAGCAATTAATTTCCGGCCACCAGATTTATCATTCAATAAATCAGTGCTGATGATCCAAGAAATTCTTTCTCAGGGTAAAAGAGTGCAGCAGGAACTACTCACGTTAATCCTTTGAAAAATACTGCAAAATGACAGCAAGTCCGGCGGTGGTTCGACTTGCAACTCTTGGTGCATTTATCTGCGCGATAGGCTTAAAAATATTCATTAAAATGCGATAAACCAACAACCCTATACTCTTCAGTATACTGAGATATTCCGTTTGATTCTGTAGTAAATATTTTAATTAAAGCTGGGTGAATGTGTTGATTACAGTGGATCTGCAAGGGGTTAAGACGGATAGTCCAACACCTCTTTCATCTGCCCTATCAGCTTAGATTGAAATCTCTAAGAATCTACAGCAGTCGATATCGGCTTTTGCGGGGGGATCTCATAATGCTTTACCAGATTCTGAAGAACCCAAACCACATTTGTCGTCCGCTGCTGGAATTGCACCACAACACTAAACTAAGAGGTCACCCTCTTAAACTGACAATTCAGTATGGCCGGCTTGAATGCCGTAGAAATTTCATTTCTCCCTGCGTGTGCCAGCCTTGGAACGCCCTCCTTAATTATGTCGTCTCTGCTCCCAATCTGGCGATATTTAAAAACGTGTTGACGATGCATTGTCTCACTTACATTTCATTTTATGACTTGTTAGCCAGGGGCTACAAAACGCAATCAAACGGTGTCTTGCCAAACGCCTAACCAATGGATTTATGGATTTATATGTTTAATACGCGAACATATCCGCTATTCTACATAAGTCTATGATGAGTCCACCACAACGCTGTTCACTTTATCATACAATTGATTTTCACAATAATTTCCATCCTACGGGACTTGTTAAGCAACAATTTTTATCCGTAATAAACCATTGTTCCATTGCACCGCACCTTCCCCATCAGCTTTCATTATGCTGATGCACTGAATACCCCTGAGCATATTCCGACAACACCCACTTATGCCTCTGAGAATTAATGTTAAGACGCCACAGCGAAGAGAAATTTGACAAAGACAGCTAGCCGATCATCTTCACTGGGAAACTACAATTTACAGCGTTTCCGGCAAAACCTCAGCTATCACGTTAAAATCATCCAATATAACTTCCGGGATACGCGACAAATTAACAATGCTATGGACAAACAACCTATTGCTGGAACGTGTTCCCGCCTTCAACTAGTAGAGTAAATTTCTCATGATGATCCGTCAAACATATTGCGTACAAGTAATAAAATTATACCTGGGGGGTGTGAAATATTTAATTAGTAGAAAGCTGTGAAAAAAACTATCTAGACGTGTTTGCTTAGCGGTAAGTTCAAAGCTTACACTTCCAACAGATGGTCGGGTGGTCAATTGCTTAATCGCAGCTGTGGTCGGTTATAACCAAGCAAAAGGAAAATCATGACACCAGCCTCGGTGAGTTGGCATCACCAATTATGGTAAAACCATAGGGGCTCGAATGAAAAGTCGACAAACCAAGCTCCAGTAAGCCAGACATAAGTAAGTACCAAGCACGCTAAACCACTTATGAATCAGGTAATGTGATGCACAAATGAACAACAACCCAATAAACTATGGTTTCCGTGCGAACTGTGGAACACACAGTTGTGCACAATGATTTGGTCGTTAACATTCCAGATGCTGTAAACTTTCTGGGTGCAACAAACTCTCTGAGTTGCAATCGGCATGCAGCTATTCTTGATCACAGCCCATGGGGACTATAGAAGACGCACGCTTGTTCCAACACAAGTAGGTTTGTGTCTTACACAAGAACCTGCGTTAACTACTATGATCAGCAGGCCTGATATCATCAGCATTTAACCACAAATAAGCCGTTTTCTTTATAGGACAATTAGATCTACCTGAGTGAATGACTCACGGAGTGTGCTGGGCTTCATCAAACCAAACATTTCCATGTCTCTGTTCTGTGTCAAAACGATAAACATACAGCACCCACTTAATAGCGGGTTTTACCGCAAGACTGATGGAGTAGCCATGCAGATCTTCTTTGAGGTTTCTTTTGACTGAGCTTTCTAAGGCAAAACTAATGCATGGCCACTTGAGAACATAAAGCAACGAAGTTGGGTTGCATGTACGATAGGTCGATGACATTCATATTTGAAAGTCGGAAAAGCAACCTGTGCAATTGCTAGAATGCTTTGACAACGCATGTACGAAGGTACACTTGGCCTGTGAATTAGCTGCAAAGATTAGCCTCTGATTCAGAATATAAACTTTGTCCGAAGCGCCTATGGAACTTGCTGCAGAAGAATTCACTAGAAATGCACATAGACTGGACAGTACACTAACTTTCACAGTGGGATACTTTTACAGTGCAAAGGGAGGTTGTTTTACATTCTCGGCTCAGGAAGCATGGTATCTGTACACCAGATACCGTCAATGAGGAACTGCAGAAATCAGCAACGCGCTTGGTGAAAATTGATACCCGAACAAATCTAGCCGGAAGTATCTGAGAGTACGGGAACGTAAGCTGCCTAAACATTGCTTCGAAAAGCGCATTTTTCATGCATTTACCATTCAAGTGTGATACTGCCGCCTGTGTATCCCGACTCCTAAAAGAATTTATGAAAAGACGTAGTCCGCAGCTTGTTTAAGAACAGTTTATTACAATAAGCTTGTGCTTGTCAGACATTTATATAGTACTTAGTTGGCTCAATTAATGTATGTTTATCAATACTTGCACTTCAATCGTGCACGATATGTCGGTCGTACTTAAAAGAGTTTATGGCACAGGATTCGCGAACACGTCGCAAAGTGGTTCTAAAGAGGAACAATGATGTATTTAAACAGCTCAGCTTTGTAGCATCTTCTTGAATAAGACCTCGCAGCATCGGAGAACGACTTCAAATTGCTCTACTCATTGACTGAAGGTTACCTCCGATGCTTCAACAAACAAGTGATATCTATTGCCGTAGCCATATAACTTCACCACTTGTAACCAGAGCTGCGTTCATAAGAATCATGTGCAACCCATTTTGTAATCATGGAAAACGAGCACGGTTTGTGAACTATTTGACTATGGTTGGAGATGCCCATTTTGGTACTTTCGAGCAATTGTGCCAACTATTCCATCCGTATATTGAGTACATTATCTGTTGCTACTAATTATGTTATCTAATCCATCGTTCAAACCGTGTGTACTCAATATTTAACTCTTTCCAACACTTGCACTAAAACAAGCCATGTGAACATAAGGGTCTGATGAGAGTCTACCCGAAAAGAAATCGTCCCCTACTTTCCGAGTTTTGGTTCCCATAGTTATGAATTACCTCGTCCACTAGTAATACAATAGGTTACGTGCTTTAACACAAAGCACAAATTATCGTCCTAAGTACTGTCTTATTATTATTGTACATTCAGTTCCCTTTTTCGTGGGGTCCTATCTTGACTCCAATCTTGGATCCAGTCCAAACGATTAAGCATACCATTTATTATTTCGACCCAGAAACTACATTAACACAGGTTTGATCGAGTCTGACACACTTGTGAAGCTTAACGTGCTGCTTCAGCGAGCAAAGCTATATTTAACAAAACTCTAAAGTTGCGCTTTGGGAAGAACGCTTATCAGTGAATGAAAAGATTGGCTAATGATCGCGTCTGTGTGCTTGACCAGCACCAGCGAGTTTGAGGCACTATGATGATAATAATAAAATGTGTACCATTGAACACGCAATAAACCAGCTCAGTTGACTTCAGAGGCCCATCATTTAAAAGAAGCATTCACAACTAAATCAGTAATATATACACTGAACTGGAGTTAAGCAAAAAATACTTTCATTCGAGGAGACATAATGCAGGCAGGACACTCTCGGTGGATCACAACTCTTTTCTACTTTGTCTGGTCGTGACCAAGACCACAGTCAACAACATTCTTGCGTTAGTTCGAGATCAAGCAAAAGCTATTAGCAAGATTTCAGTAGTAATCTTCTCAAGGCTTTCATCCCAGTAGTCCAC